CTCAGTCTGTTGGGCTTCTAACTCTGGGTTTCAGCTCCGGTGGTAATCTTACGGTTGTGGGATCCAGCCCCGGGTTGAGCTGTGTGTTCAGCATGGAGTCTGCTTGGAATTCATTCCTCTACCCACTCCCTCCTGCTCTGCTCCTCTCCCTATTCATACCTGCTCTCTCACTTTCTTAAATAAATAAATAAAATCTTTAAATTTTTTACCTTTTAATCTATGTACGAAAAAGAGTTAACATAGCAGGCTTGTGACGGCAGTCTCAGAAAGGCTTGTTTACAGATTGGCCCTTGGCTGGTGTCTGGGAACTTGATTAGAAAACGTTCCCTAAATGATAACAGTGGCTCAGTGTACCTCTACTATTTGTACGAACAATACAATGAGGCTTATGCTAGGCACCTGCTTTCCTTCCAAGAGTCTGGAATTTCAGTGACTATATATAGTCAGTTACACAGCCACTATGGGCTTACAAGGCCAGCCTGTGATACAAATTCTGGACTCTAGGCTCAAGCAGGTGTTCCTGGGAGACATTTCACACATTACTGGCAGAGTCAGGTGCATCCTGAGCAACTCCACTGGGAAAGGACACATAGAAGCTTAAGACTGATTTACCTCCAGACTTTACCTTGAGTGCCTTTCCCTTAACCAGTTCTGCTTTGTATACTTTCATGGTGATAAATCATAGCCAAAAGTACAATCATATGCTGAATCCTGTGAGTCTTCCTAAGGATCCACCAAATCTGGGGAGTGATCTTGGGGACTCCTGAAAAAATCTATCTGTAAGTGAATTAAACAATCTGAACATATCTCAACCTCTCGGCCTCTAGAACACCATCTCATCTACTCAGGGTGCAAGAGAACACAGCATTCACTTACAATAAAGCAATGAAGATACAAACTGGAGATATACAACAAGGTAAATGTACGCATTAAAATAACCTTGTCTACTAGGCAAGAAGAATTAAAAGTTACTGAAGTTATGACTGAGAACAGCAAAATCCACATTTTTTTCTGGCAAACAAACAAACCTATATATAAAAACACCGGTTGAAGAGTGTTCTAAAATATTTTAATAGCACTAATATGGCAGAGAAATCAAACACACAACTACAAATGATAAAAACTGACTACATAAAACAACTTTTTCTATTGAGAAAAACAACCTTGAAGGAAGTGAAGCTCTACACTACCCTTCCTCCAAACCCAAATCATTCTAAGAACTCACCTCCTACACAGGAGCACTGTCTGCTATTTAATCTCCAGATCTCTTTAAAGAAATCTGTTAGTACAGCAGGCACAACCTTAAAAGAAAGCTCAAAAGACTTCTGTAAAGGAAAAACCCTCTCTGAAGTCAGAGATATTCTCTAAAGGTACATTAATGAAATATAAAGTGAAACTAAATTATTTGATGAGCTCCCAAAGAGAATCGTAGGAAATACATCTCTGCTGTTTCTTGAATGATGGCAAAATACTAAATCTCAAAAATAATTTATAATCCAGTTAGAAAATTAGAGAAATAAGTCATACATCATGTTGTATGTGTGGGCCATAAAGTTTTGTCAACATGTTAGGAGATACCTAATGTATATTTTTAAATTAAATTTATTTGAGAGATAGAGAGAGAGAGAAACTTTAGCAGATTCTACAGTGAGCACGGAGCCCAATGCAGGGCTCCCACTCGCAATCCTGAGATCACCACCCGAACAGAAACCAAGAGTTGGATGCTTAACCAACTGAGCCAACCAGGCACTGCTAATGTACATTTTTTAAATGAAATGAGCTGTTGTGCAGAAAACTTAAAACATAATTAAGTGCATTTTAAATTTACAGCATCCATTCAGATAGTAGTTAGGACAACTTACGCAATTTAAGTCACATGTGGTAGGTTCTCACACATTGCTCTCATTCATATAGTGCCTCTTCTTTCTTCCTTCCCCCCAATATTTTCTTCCTAAAACAAGGGTTGGAGGTCCCAATTAGGTTGCGACCATGTTTTTCTTATATTTTTATTCCTGGTACCCATATCAATGCCAGGAACAGCAGGCACTTATTACATTAATTACTATTGCTAAAACAAGGGGAGAGTATGGTAGGACAATGTTGCGTGTAGACTGGACACTGAGACCTAGTCCATTACTTTTCTCCTCATTTGAAAGTGAGTTTTCCTAGAATCTCTGCCTTTGCTTCTGTCAGAGCAGGCAAACCATTTTTGGCCTAAGATGAGAGTTGATCTATGTGTATGCTATGCTTGCTGACTCTCTGATGTTATTGATTCTACCTATTTTGGCCTACAGTGTTGGCCTTCTCAGGATCTTAGATGGATTCCCTAAACGTGACGTCTACAGAATTTAAACATAAATTGAGATCTCTCTGGAACTAATGGCCAATCATTATAGAGACAGACATCACTGATGGAACAATTGAGATAGCCCTGTCCTCATGGTAAGATCCTGCCACTGTTCTACCTGTGTTCCCCCCATTCTCATTAGGTGAACATGACAAAACTATGGCATTTAGGCCAGATAGAGTGTAGCAATAAAAGCTGGTGCTAAGAATGCATGCAAAGTAGGTAATACCTCCCCAAGTTACTAAATAGGAAAATCTTGTTAACTTTGTGGTGAACAACCTCCCAAGCTGTCAAACAGAAGGTACTTTTTCTCAGGAGGATGAACCATAAACACATCCTGAACTCTGCTAATTTTCACAATGTAATTAGATTAGTGACCTTTACCAAACATCATAAATACCCACTGGATGAGGAAATATCCTGAATGGAAGGGAAAATTGAACTCCCTGAAGTCCAGGGAGGATAACATTTTGGCCTGCCTAACCTGCAGCCACAGGTGCTTTAAGCCCTAAAGCTTTACTATGTGTCCTCTGTAATAAGTTTGACATTTACATAGGCCACTCCAACTATCCCACTAGTCTGATGGCTCCGGATTTACAAGAGAACAACAAAAGATCTTACAATGCTGTATTAATCAAGACACTTGATTGCAGTCAAATCTATGTCAAATCAGATCCAGTAAATGCAAGTTGAGGAACGAATTGACTTGTGTGATTGAGGAGCTGAGGGACAGAGAACATGATATTCAACATAGTTCATCAGGAGTCACACTGCCTGGACCCCATCTCTCCGTATTGTTTTTGTGTGTTAGCATCATTGTCTCTTAAAGCACTGTACGTGTCCCCCACGTAGCTGGAAAGAATGGCCATCATGAGTGCTAGACTCACATTCTAGCATTTTGACTTAATGGCAGAGCCAGCTGCCCAACCAACTTCAACACAATGACTGTCCCAGTTGGGGTCACCTGCACATTACCCACGTAGTCATTATTCTCATAATACATACAATGTATGACCAAACCCTACTTCCTGTGATCAGTAGAGTTCTATTATCAATAGCCCCAACAGAACCACAGGAGCAGACGCTTCCTCTCTATGCAAGGGATGCTGAACAGCAAAAGACAATACACATTCAGTTCAAATGTCTTTATCCAAACACTAATTTGATAGGAATAGTTAGAGTCACTGTAAGCATCTATCCTTGTTTACTCCACTCTGGCCACATTGGCCTCCTTGCCGTTCTTCAAAAAGCCATACACACTCCTGCCTCTTGAGCCTTTGCACATATATCTGGAATGCTTCTCTCACCTCCTTCAAGTTTGCGTTCAAATACCATCTGTTCAGTGAGGATCATACTACAATGCAACACCCCTACAGCTCTACACACACACACACACACACACACACACACACACACACACACAACACAGAACCTAGTGACTCAGCTTTGGCTTTTTCCTAAGCATTTATTATCTAATATATTCTGTGTTTTACTTAACTATTGTCTCAAGGCAACAGCATGAGGACAGAAACTCTTATCTGTTTCATTTACTCACTGATATATCTCCAGCACCTAGTGTAATGCCTGGCATATAATCGGTGTTCATTACATATTTGATGAATTAACAAACGATGGAATCTAGCAGGGATGCCTCATGACTCTGTTAGATAAGGCAGATTATAGTATTAAACAGGGGAGTACATCATAGTACAGTACATGAATACAGTCTTCATTTATTGGCCTCCCTAGGCTTCTACAGTTTAGCAAAATACACCCAACTTCAGCTATGTGGAACTAGACCCAGGGTGGGATTTCCACAGTTCTCTGGGAGGAGCGATCACCTTAGATCAATTCAAGCTTTATCTCACGTCCTTGTTACATTTCCACAATCCACATTTCTAAGTAGCTGCTTGCTTTCCTAATCCACATTCCTTTCCCCCCAGTAAGATTTAAATCCTATTCTGAATCTAAACCCTGACACCTTACCTAGCCAGGAGGCTAGATCCTTTGAAGAGGGTGCTACTTCACCCAGACGGACCACCTGGAACCAACATGCTGTTAACCATCAGTGAGAATATCACAAGACCATGGAGAATGGTGTTGCAACATCCCATCCACCAGACCGAATCCCCTTTAATACTGATTTGGTCTGATCTTCCTAGACTTTGACAGTTCCCTCTCGGACTCTATATCCATTGTCGCTCTCCACCGGAATCAGCTTTGCCGAGTGATGTATACGTCAACAAACATCAATGATCCGTGAGATAACTGTATTCTGTGAGGAGTAAACAGGCCTGGAATCCACCAGAGCTTCACACGTTTGCTCCTTCGTGTGTCACACAAAGGCCACAGGGCCCAGGTGTGTCTTTTCACCTCTGCAAACTGTCAAACGACCTCCCTACAGTGATATACAAGTCAAAGGCTCAGTTGTCAGTCTGCCGCTGAGCGTGAGTCAACCGTCAGCCCCCGAGTCCCCACCCCCACCTCCCGGTCTCGAGGAAACCTCGGCCTCGGGCTCTCTGGATTGGAAGCGTTGCGGCGGAAACGTGTGAGGCCACATAAGACTACAATTCCCAGCAGGCATAGCGGAAGCGGTGTCTCCCGGGCGCAGGCCAGACTTTGGCGCGAAGCCTTGCGCGGGACTTCTGGGAGGGGAAAATGACAGCCCCAGGCTTGCGGCCGATCACCCGCAAGCTACTGGAGCTTACCCGGGCGTTGCGGCGCGTGAACCGAGCTTGCAGCACGTTCCAAACCTTCGCGGAAGTTCTCAGGCTGCCCAAGAGACAAATGACGAAGCTCGCGTTTCCACTACAGGAACTCCAGCGGCAGCTCACTCCAGACGCCAGGTTGGATCTTCACGTGAAGATCTTCGATCCGAGCTTGGAGGACATCTCCAAGGCGGAGAGCGTCTTCACGGCCACCGGCCGCAACCGCATCGAGTACCTCAGCTCCGCCGTACGTCTCGACCACGCCCCGGACCTCGCCCAACCTGAGGTGAGAGCCGCCGCAGCGCTCACTCCTCAGGTCGTGAAGACTGGGGCAGGCATTTTGCCCTCACCTATTCTTGTCACCGAACGGGAGAGATTTTCTAGCTTTGTGGGGACGCATAAAATTATTATTATTTTTTTTTTTTAAGATTTTATTTGTTAGAGAGAGAGAGATCACAAGTAGGCAGAGAGGCAGGCAGAGAGAGAGAGAGAGAGGGAAGCAGGCTCCCCGCTGAGCAGAGAGCCCGATGCGGGGCTCGATCCCAGGACCCCGAGATCATGACCTGAGCCGAAGGCAGAGGTTTTAACCCACTGAGCCACCCAGGCGCCCCGCATAAAATTATTTTAACTAAATAAGCATATATAGTTTTAGTTACTTTGGTAATGAATATACAAGATTAAATGATTGTAAAAACCAAACCAGTTCAAAAATTAAATGGCTTTTTATTCTTTCTCCTTCTTAATTGACGTAGGGAAAAACATGCCGAGACAAATGAGACAAAGTGAATAGGAAAAGTGCAATAGTTACACAAATGTGATGGTCCTTATCAGTACGTAATTTTCACCCAATCTGAATTTCCTGTCTGCTATGATAGTTTAAATAGAACTAAGGGGAACATAAGAAGTTTAATAATTTTGACATGACATCGCGTTTTGACTGAAGCTTCTGAATTGCTGGGCTTTTTGTCCAGTAACTTTTTGTTTCTTGAAATTTAGTTTTATTTATATATTATCATTGGATTTAATCTGCCAGAGCATTTGAAACTTATGCAGGACTCAGATCAATTCATACTGAAGGACTGACCCCAGTCTTGCAAAATATGTAGCATCCCTGGCCCCACCCACTAAGTGCCACCCAGTCCTATTCATAAGGAGAAATGACCTTACAAATTTCTGAAACACCCCCCTTTCAGATAACCACCCTCACCTAGAACCACTGATTGGTATTGTACCCCCTTCAATACCATGTTAAAAAGCAGTCATGTATATTAATGGTTCTTATCAGGAACATTATGTTCCTTTCTACACTATAGAGGTCTAAAGGAGACATTTTAATTGCAACAAGAGACGTCAAGAGAAAAGAATAACCTCATAAATGCAATAGTGTTACAGTCAACTCTGGGAGTTTGTGGGGCAATGCAGTTTGAGACATGTAGTTGTACTTTAGAATAAGTTTTGTTGACATGCATATAATTTTTAACTTCAAAAAGCTTTGTAAATATGGAATGCTTATTAAATGTCCCAGATGTTCTTGAGTAGCATAATGTCATTAAAGGCACGGGTTCTGGATATAAATGTCCTGAGTTTTTAAATAACAACTTCTTCCCTTTCTAGCTATATAATTTTGGGCCAATTGTTTAGCCTCTCCCTGCCTCTAGTTTTATCATTTGTAAAATGGGGATAATAATATTACCTACCTGATAGGGATGTTGTAAAAAGTAGATAAGAAAATTTATGCTAAGTGCTTTGAACAGTACCTGATCCTGGGAATCATTCAGTAGATAGTAGTTATATGTTAGAATTTGAGGTTCAACTAAGCATAAGCCACCTTTTTACATGGCTAGGAAAGACAGTCGTTTAACAGATTTTTGCAGCTAATACAATATATAATAAAAATGTATATATAAACCTTGTACTCAATTATCTTCTTTTTCTTTGTATAAGGTGTGTTTTATAGGCAGAAGCAATGTTGGAAAATCCTCTCTAATAAAAGCCTTATTTTCCCTGGCCCCAGAGGTTGAAGTCAGAGTCTCCAAGAAACCGGTATGTTGAAGGAAAGGGTTGGGGAGGCCCATGGGATATAAAAGAAACAGTATATTGAAATGTAAAACATGTCTGAACCATCTCTGAATTGACTAAAGTGACTAATTAATGTTGAGAGGTACAAGAAATCATACTCGCTAAGTTTTTAGAACAGTGATTTCTTTCAAACAAGTAGTAAATTAAGACATTTTATTGACACCTGTACATATCCCTGAAGAAGAAGGAAGTATGTCTGGATTTATTTTGGTTGTCTTGCCAGTTTCTTGAGGAAATCTTTTGTTCAAATCTTTTCCAAAGAGTTGCCGCATAAAGTATTGTTGCCATTTTGTATTTGCTTCTTTAAGATTGATCATCTACTCCTGCCCTGATTTTAGAGGAAACTGCTTTGAAGTGGTTTTTTCCCTCCTATAATCTTGTATAACTTGCTAAGTCCTTTCTCCCTCCCTTCTCCTACTACCCCTTCTCTCTTTATATATAGATATAGATACAGATATATATACATATATATATTAGGCACACCCCAGTTTACCCAAGGCCAAATGATGTGATTACCCCAGCCAGTCTGCTGTAGTAGCTTTCTGGCATTTTTAAAATTTCCTCTACTCTTTCTCAATGATGCAGACTACCAATATTTAAGATACGGTGTCATTAAAATTCACCCCTAGTTCCTTTCACCTTATTATCTATCCATGGCAGAATGTTCCCACCAACCTGCGGCTCACTGCCCCCCTTTCTTTGCATTGGAACCCTTACATGAAGCTTCCTAGTCTTGCTCCCCATTTCTTCATGTAGTTAATCTGGCTTCATCGCTAATGCTGATGATTGTAGTTCATTAAATCTCCTATCCTTAGGCCTACCCTGTCTCCTCAAATAACACAGCTAAACTCTGATTTCTAGGTAGGGTGGGTTCCCTTCCTGCGTGAGAGGACAATGGAAGAAGTGTATTCTTGACATTCCTAATCTGTCATTTTTCTATGGATAGACACATCAACTGACTGGGAACCTAAGCACTGTTTTACAGAATCTTGCCTCTGAAGATATTTGTTCTAAGTTCAACAATTGACTTTTTAAGTTGCTTATCTTAATCTTTTGTTTTCTGATTAATAGTGTCATTAGACACAAAACCATGACTTTTTACCATCTTTACATCATTTTAGTTTAATACATATTTTATAGTGTTGTACATGCTTTTAAAAAATGGTTTACTGAAAGCACTAAAACCATCTAATGAAACATGCAAAACATCTTGATTCTAGGGAAGCAGTAGTCTAGATGTTACAAACTATCAAGTTTTGCATCTAGGTTTTATGAACCTGTATGACTGACAGTAAGTATTTTTAGTTTAACCAATCTGTGCCATAATTTATTTCTCTTTAAAATGGGGATAAATTATTCATCAGAGAATATTGACTAATGCAGTGACACCATTATAGAATAACTTTTCACTGAGAAAGAGCTAATGAAAAGACTCTGACATATTTTGGGTACATATTCCTGATCAGAAGTTCTTCTTAAGTCATATAGATGCTCTTAAAAAGGAATTGGAGGGAAGAAGTAGCATCGTCTAAGCTTATCTCCAGCCACTTCTCTTCTATATTCTTTTCCTGTATCATCATCAGCATAGCTAGGATTATATTCAGAACACTTAATCTTTTAATAAATATTTGCTGATTGAATAGAAAATGTTGAGTCATTAAATATATACAGGATGTATTCTAAGGAAGCTTTTATTTTTCCATTTATTTTATCAGGGGCACACAAAGAAAATGAATTTTTTCAAAGTTGGAAAATATTTTACATTGGTGGACATGCCAGGTTATGGCTATAGAGCTCCCGAAGATTTTGTTGACATGGTAGAGACCTATCTAAAAGAACGAAGGAAGTAAGGAAAATATTTTCTTATAAATCTACTCCAAAAGCATGTTATGGTAATTGGATTTATGTCTCTTTCTCCCACTAGAGTTCGAGCTTTTTTTTTTTTTTTAAGATTGTATTTATTTATTTGTTGGAGAGAGAGAGAGAGAGCACAAGCATGGGGAGCTGCAGGCAGAGCAGGCAGTGGGAAAGCAGGCTCCCCGCCAAGCAAGGAGCCCAATGCATAACTTCATCCCAGGACCCTGGGATCATGACCTGAGTCAAAGGCAGACATTTATCCAATTGAGTCACCAGGCATCCCTAGAATTCAGGCTTTTAAAGGAAGGTACTTACTCATCTTTGTGTTCAGCCCTAAGCAGAGGATCTTAGGTCTAATACCTGCTATTGAAATAAATTAATATTTAGTAAATTTAGTTATTGAAAGTAATTGAGATTTATTGCATTATAGGACGAACTTCTAATGAACTGAAAATTCCTTTTGCCTAAAAAATTTTTAAATTTTGGAGTGAAAATTATTCAAAAGAAAATTTCTCAGCATAGTGAGGATCGGGGAAGAAATGAATGAGTATATTTGATATTGTCATTAATTTTTATTTCTGTATTCTTATAGTTTGATGAGAACATTTCTGTTAGTGGATAGTGTTGTCGGAATTCAAAAAACCGACAGTATTGCCATAGGAATGTGTGAAGAATTTTCATTACCTTATGTGGTAAGTATTTCCTTTGAATTATAGTTGCTATTGGAAATACCAGTTTGTGTGTATACATGTGCAAATGCTTGTGTGTGTGTGTGTGTGTGTCTTTTCAGTGAGAGAGCAGTTCTTACCTCTGCAAGAATAGTTTTTGAATAATCTTTTTTATTATCAACCATTAGTAGGTAAGTTCTGTGGTACTTTCTCTTTTCTTTCTCTCAGCTTTAAGTTTTCAAAATTATAGTCAAAGTAAAGTATTTTTAAGCTGTTCATTTAGTGTTCCTAAGTGCTTTTCCCTTTCATTTTTTTAATGGCAATATAAATATTTGTCTAAAACATATTAGTGGGTCTTTAACAGCAGTTTGGCATATAGTACATATCAAAGTGTAAATGAAGTTGCAACCGAAAAATTTGCTAAAGCAATTTGTAGTTTAAGAACCATTGCAAGAAAATAACAGGCTCCAGCACATACAGGTAGGATTTTTATGTTCCTTAAGAAAACAATATTCCTTTGGGAATATCTTACTTGTATTTTTTTTCTGTTGTTTGCCCTAGAATAGAATACAGTTTAGTAGGTTGGTATCCACATTTACTTTGCTTCATGAGTTTTCCAGATAACATAGACCTCTGAAGTTCCTTTCTAAGAAAAAGAATCCATTGACTGTAATTTGGTTTCAAAAAAAGAAACCACTAAAATGTAACAGTGAAGTTTAATGCAAATCAAACCATGTTACTAGTCAGTGATGTTTTTGTATTCTTGGGGTTATGAAATTTTGGGATTTTGCAAAAGCCCTATGAAACATAAGCTATAACTACAGTTAGTATGAGGAGTCAAAGGTTTGATTATAGTCCACATAGTAGAAAATACCCAATAGTGCCAAACTGGTTTTAAGTGATACAGTATTCCTGATTTGGTATCATAGGTACCAGTTTATAAAATTGTATATTTTTCTCAGCTTCAAAATTTAAAAGAAATTTTACTTTCTTTTTGGGAAAGAGGTTGTGATAGAGGAATTATGCCTCCTTTTAAATACTAGCATATTTGCTTTTATGAGAAAAGACTCCCAATTGGAGGGACTCACAAGTCATTAGAAACTACATGCTTTCTGCTACTCACTTCTTTTACCATTAACATTTTTTAATAACTGGAAAGCATAAATGATTAGTCAGGAAACTTTAATTTTGTAGAAATTCCCCAGGAAATTGATGGATCAGAGTTTTACTTTTTAATTGATTTTGTAGTCATTCCTATAAGTGTAGTGGATATAAGATACAAATAGCCTGATTTCTAGTTTTTCCTTTGTATTATTGCATATAAGGCAGAACCATTTTGTAGTTCAAAAATGATTATAAGTTGGCAATTTTATTTGGATCAACCTAATACTATTCGTCTTAGTTAACATAAGATATATAGTGATCATATGAAATTTGTCTTATGTCAATTACAAATATGGCCCAAGGTCCTTTTCACTGGTCTTGAATCCAAGATATTTTGGCCTTTTGTAGTTAAAGCACCATTAAACAGCAAACACATAGTATATGTTTTATCCATTGCATACATTAACTCATTTAATCTTCATGGTAACTCCTTTTGGGGGTGTTGCTTTTATTTTATAGATGAAAAAATAAGTATAGAAAGAATAAGAAACTTACCAGGGTCATCTAGTTGTTATTAACCATGTGTAGTTAGGGGCGCCTGGGTGGTATAGTTGGTTAAGCGTCTGACTTTTGGTTTCAGGTCAGGTCATGATCTTGGTATGGTGGAATTGAGCCCTGCAATGGGGCTCTGCGCTCAGCCAGAGTCTGCTAAGTGTTCTGTTTCCCTCTCCCTCCCCCACCACTGTGCACTCATTCTCTGTCTAGAATAAATAAGTCTTTAAAAAAAAAATTGTAGCTAAAACATAAAATTTTGTATTAAAGATTATTTATTTATTTATTTGACAGACAGATCACAAGTTGGCAGAGAGGCAGGCAGAAAGAGAGGGAGAAACAGGCTCCCTGCTCAGCTGAGAGCCCAATGTGGGGCTCAATCCCAGGACCCTGGGATCATGACCTGAGCCGAAGGCAGAGGCTTTAACCCACTGAGCCACCCAGGTGCCCAAAATTTTGTATTAAAAAAAGACTTTATTTCTAATGCTTAAATATTTGTTTTCTTACAGATGGTATTAACAAAAATTGACAAATCTTCCAAGGGACATCTTTTAAAACAAGTGCTTCAGATCCAGAAATTTGTTGACAGTGAAACACAAGGATGTTTTCCTCAGTTGTTTCCTGTAAGGTAATAGCTGAATTATTTTGTAACTTTATGTACTAACATCGTTTTGTATTACATAGTATTTCTTAAATTGAGGTATCACTTAAAATAAGAGGAGTTTGGAAGACTATGCACTTAACCATGATTTATTGGTACAATCCGTCAGCGCTTTTATTTTTTCTTCCTTCTATTTTGTCTTCCTTCTACATAGTAGGTATCTTCCCTGTAGGTATCTTCATCCTCTTTCTGCCTCATCCTAGCTCAATCCTAGATCACAGCAGAAATAAAAACTTCTTACATGGTAGGTATCTTCCCTGTAGGTATCTTCATCCTCTTTCTGCCTCATCCTAGCTCAATCCTAGATCACAGCAGAAATAAAAACTTCTTACTTTATAAAATCAGCTAAATAACAGCCACAATAAAGATACTACCATGCTTTTCTCAATTTCAAAGAAAAATTATCTTTATGGTAGAAAGCTCATTCAGGCTGTGAGGAATAAAAATTTTTCTTTAAAAGGACCATATGTAAAGAAATACTTCCTTTAAGTTAGAATTAAGCATTGGTAGCAGATAGAATGGTTACTTCTAGAGCTGACAATTTTGAGATATTTGATAGAGTTTAGTGATGAAACATGAGTCTATACTTTTAGCGTATACCTTGGATATAGTGTACCCTGTACTAGAGCAGAGATACAGTGCCACTTCCATTTGACTTTCTTACTCTCACTTCTTTGTGGAAAGTAGTAGGGTATTTGCAATGAGAAATAATTAAAACCAAGTAACAGTTGTATATGAAACTGTCCTCTAATCAGTCATTCAAGTCCTACCAATCCAGATCACATTTAAATTGTTTGTAATTATGAACATGCCTATCAGAATCCTTCATTCAGTCATTCCTACAAAGTGCTCTTCTCCCTTGACTTTCTTTCAAGTATTTATCTTGTTCACTTGTCTGTGTCCCATCTGTATAATGGAGACTCCTAAGGGCAGGAATGAAATCCTATTTCTTAGAGCCCTGAGCATTGGCTTAGAAGAATAGCTATTCTTTTAACTGTTTAATAAGAAGGAAGTGAGACCTTCACTAAAAATGCAGCACAAACATAAGATGGACAGATTATGGCTTAACAGCAGCATTTATTGAGGAAAAAATTAAGTTTTAGTTGACTGTAAGCTGAATTTGAATTAACAGTTTAATGGAGCTGGGGAGAAACTGACAATGTTTTCTTGACCTACATTAATAGAATTATAGTGTTCCAAGCAAGGAAATGATCTAGCACTAGTTCCATACTGCTTTGAGCTACAGGCCATCAGACCAATCAGGATAGACTGTGGCTAGACATTAAGAACTAGAGTTATCTGAAAACAGATGGTCTTGGGGAAGGTTACATCATTCATAATACTCACCTGGTCCTCACAGCCAACATCCCTATTTCCAGTTATGGTCACAGGTCAAGGAAATGAAGTGGGTTGCAGAGAGGTAATTGTTTAAATAGAAGGAGCATGGGCTTTGGAGTCAGACAGCCTAGATTTTGCATGGTTCCTCTACTTCTTGGCCATAGATTTTAAAGCAACTTGTTTCATTTTCTAAGTCTGTTTTCTCACTAGTAAAAATATGATTGTTACAAGAATCAAATAAAATGTATTGTGACTGATGCACACACAGCCACATAATAAAAGTTAGCTTCCTTTCTTGCCAAGTCAGTCAGTAAGTAGCAAGGTTAGGCCAACAACCCGTAGTATCAGATTCTCACTACTTTTTAAAGATACTCCCTTCTTTAGATAAGTCAGCATTCTCTCCTATATGACCCTGGAATCACTGCTGCCACTATACTTGCCACAAGTGACCAAGGCACTGTAGAAGCCATACAAGTTTAAGACTTGAGATGCAGGAACCTGGTGACTTCCAAGAACTTCAACACGTACTGTATATAGAGGAATTTGGCATACTATACTATGTAGCCCTCAAAACCCAACTCAGAAAGTAGAGTTATATACGTTCCTTGGTTTTATGTGCATGACCAAGTCCTAGTCCATCCCTCCAGAAAGAAGTTTGGCCTGTTCACAAAATAATTATTATAAAATAAGTCGGGTTTTATTTCCTTCTTATACGATCCTTGTAGGAGAAATGGGGAATTATAGTCCAGCAAGCTTTGGCCTATAAGGCTTTGGCAAAAGTTAAATGCTGAACTTCATGTCAGAACTCTGCACCAACTGAGTAGGGATTCGTAAATGGTGTAAAGCCCCTAATGATGCTGGGATCAATCTGTTTTTATAACTTCATGGGAGAAATATGTAAGTAGGTAGAGTATAATTGCTTTCTATATAGTGGAATTCCAAGCAAAGACAATGGACTCTAAGGACAAAGAAAATCACATTAATTGACAGAAATGTTGCAATTGAGTTCAGGATGCCATAATTGGTGTGTGGACAATCCAACTTATATTTCTCCTTCAAGCTATATAACTTCACTTATAACCCAGAAATCATTATAGGCTGTTCTCAAGCAAGCAGCTTTGGTCAAAAAGTCTAAAATGCTATAATATATCAAGAAGGGAATTAAGAGTACAGCAGAAAATATTTTACCTGTTTTATGTACAGGTATATATGATTCTTGTATCCACGAAAGTAATAGTGTATTCATAAAAGTCCTTTTATCCTGAGAAATTATGTGGTCACTTCCAGCTGACATATGGATGGATATAGTAAGATGAGTAGACAATAATAGACACAATAGTGGTGATTATGATTTTTTAAAATGACCAAAAAAAGGTCTAAATTATCAAGGTTGTTGAATCTTTGTCACAAAAAGAACAAACTAAAGAAATCAAAACTTTTAGTTTGGAAAATAAAAAGCAAAATAGAAGATATTACAATGGTATTTTTCACAGAAATAGAACAATCTTAAAATTTGTGTGGAACCATAAAAGACCACAAATAGCCAAAGCAATCTTGAGAAAGAACAAAGTTGAAGGTATCATGTTCCCTGATTTCAAACTATATTATGAAGTTACAGTAATCAAAAAGGTATGGTACTGGCATTAAAAAAAGACACATAGATCAATGGAACAGAATAGAGAGCCCAGAAATAATCCCACAAATATATGGTCACTATGACAAAGAAGCCAAGAATATAAAATGGGAAGAAGGCAGCATCTTCAGTAAATGGTGTTGGCAAAACAGAAGAGCCACATGCAAAAGAATGAGACTTAGATTACTGTTTTACATTGTATATAAAAATTAACTCAAAATGGATTAAAGACTTGAATGTTAAGGCCTGAAACCATTAAACTCCTAGAAGAAAACGTAGGCCCTTAACATCAGACATGGCAATGATTTTTTGGATTCGACACCAAAAGCAAAAGCAACAATAGCAAAAATAAACATGAGGGACTATATTGAACTGTAAGAAAGCTGCACAGCAAAGTAAACCATCCAGAAAATGAAAAGGCAACCTCCTGAATGAAAGAAAATGTTTGCAAATCATGTATCTGATAAGGGGTTAATAATTGAAATACATAACTCCTATAACTCAATAGCAAAAAAAAAAAAAATGATTAAAAAATGGGCAGAGGATTTGAATAGATGTTTTTCCAAAGAATGCACACACATGGCCAACAGGAAAAAATGAAAACAAAGATGCTTAGCAGCACTAACCATCAGGAAAATGCAACCAAAACTACCACAATGAGATACCACCTCACACCTACTGGAATAACTATTATCAAAAAGGCAAAAGAAAAAAATAAAAAGACAAGAAATAACAAGCATTGGTGAGAATGTGGAGAAAAGGGAACCCTTGTGCACTGTTGGAAATGAAATTAGTACAGACACTATGGAAAACTGTATGAGATTCCTCAAAAAATAGAACTACCATATGATCCAAAAATACCACTTATAGGTATTTCTCTGAAGAAAACAAAAAGTCTAATTTGAAAAGATATCTGCACCCCTGCAATTCCTGCAGCATTGTTTACAGTAGCCAAGATGTGGAAACAGCCTGTCCATTAATAGATGAATGGACAAAGCAAATGTGGTATATATATATATACAATGGAATACAATTCAACCATTAAAAAAGTGAAATCTTGCCATTTGTGACAACATGGGTGGATTTTGAGGGGATTAAGTTAAGTGAAATAAGTCAGGCAGAGGAAGACAAATACCACATGATCTCACTTATATGTAGAATTTGAGAAACAACTAAAAAGCAAAATCATAGATACAGAGATTGGTGGTTGTCAGAGGTGGAGGTTAGTGGATAGGAGATACGGGTGAAGGGGATCAAAAGGTACAAACTTCCAGTTATAAAATAATCAAGTCATTGAGATGTAATGTACAGCATGGTGGTGTTTATACTGTATTGCATATTTGAAAGTTGCTGAGAGCAGATCTTAAAAGTCCTCATCACAAGAAAAGGAAGAATTGTAATTATGCCTGGTGACAGAAGTTAACTAAATTTTACTGTGATCATTTCACAATAAATATAAGTACCTAGGCATTATGTTGTACAACTGAAGCTAATATTACATGTCAGTTATACCTCAATTAAAAAAAAATTTAGTCTGCTTAATAAAAGGCAAAGTAGTAGATATGGTGAAATTTTTAGGATCCTGAAGGAAACTGATCAAATAATGTGTGTCATCAGATTTAGAATACAAGAGGCTGGTGGAAGAGAGGAAAGGTAGAACAAATCAAGACATTCTGTTTCACACATGGAACTCAAAAGTTTTTAAGCAGTTTTTAAGTTAGATGAATTCAGGTATGTTACTACATCTTAAGTAAAGAAGAAAATTTTTCTTTTCTTTTCACAGTTCCGTGACCTATTCTGGAATCCATCTGTTGAGATGCTTTATAGCAGATATAACAGGAAATCTTAAGACTGATGGCTTTGGCCAACTGGAGTTGAATACCTAGAATTTCAACATTGTTTTAAATGTTGTGTATCTGTAATTTGCAGAAGGAACATTTCAGCTTTAAAACCTGCATCTTTCCAAAGCATGAATGAATTTGTGCTGGGGAAAAAGATCTTGTAAATAATTGAATTATGCAGTTCATTAGAACAGATACCCTTCTTATTTTAACAGTGTTTCTGTTTTAACAAACTGACAAACAAGAGCATATAGAAGTCCATAATATGAAAACCTATTTACTACTATGTAGAGAATGGTTTTTATTGGGCTTTTGTCTTTTAAAGAAAATGTCCATTATGTATATTTAAGTATTAAAATGGACTAGGTAAAAAGGGGCTACTTTTCTGTTGAGCACTTACAGGTAGATGGAAGATAAATGCTTCTCTCTATGCCTATAATTAGTCTTTTTTCTGAGTCCTTCCTTATTTGAATATAAAATATTCTTGATAAAATTTCAGTCAGTCCATGCTGAAAACATCAGTCTTTTCAGACTGGGATCATTCACCTTCAAGTGAACAGAGGATTCAGAATCAGAAGACCAGAATTTAAGTTCCAGCTCTAGTATTTATTAGTTTGGGCCTTGGGCAAATTACTTGATTTCTCTGCCCTTAATTTATAACTCACAAAGCTATAGAAATTAAAATGGTATTGTATGTGTAAAGGATATCTATATACTCTATATATTTGTAAAGTGAAACCAACAAAGAATGCAGCAAAATTCAGATTTATCACAGAAAACCTCTTGTCATAGAGGAGGTAACATTTTCTCTATTGAAAGACAAAAACCAAGAACTAGTTTTAAGTGAGAACACTGATATTTGCAAAAGGGAGAAGAAAAAAGTTGATGGGCCAGTGTAGAATTGGTACCGTAAGATTCAGAATGGAAAGATAAAGCCTTACTTTGAGCTAAAGTTAACGGAAAAATTTTTTATGAAGATGCTACTGAACTGTTCGTGTAAGTGGCATAGCTTTTTAATGTGAGGCTGAATATTAAGATTATAGCAGTAGCCCTGGTTAAAAACTAAGTCTGTAAAACAAGTTTGTGGCTTTTTTAGGGAATTCAATTATGAATATATTTTCAGTTTTATAGTTGATAATCCTGGTCTATTCTAACCACCAGTGTTTTAAGCTGAAAGAAAGAAAAAACTTTATGTAGGCATTCACAAAGTGAAATATATGGTGACAATAGAACAATCTTAGAAGTCATCATTTTGCCTGCCAGTATTACTTTACTCCTTATCTTAGCCTTGGTTCTCCTAAAACCAGAGCCCAAGACAAGTTCGCATGCAGTTGTTTATTTGGCAAGTGACCCCAGGGAATAGGTGTGATGGAGAAAGGAAACAGAAGAAAGGAAAGTCAATGATGCAAGAGTTGGACTTCACATAGGTACGTCTTGATCTTGAGGCACCTTTTGGGGAGACTTAGGAAACGTGCCTCTGTGTTGCCCTTGAAGTGGGGAGAAGGTGGCTGCACACTTCTTCCAACTTGTGCATGCCTAAGTGCCAAGCAGTTCCTGCAACTTGTCAGAAGGAGCATGAGGAGAGAGGTCTCTGGAACATGACGCAAAGTGCAGTTGTCCACTCCTACTGGAGACTGGTGGCCACAGGAGTGGCTGAAGTAAGGCCAAGAGGATTTGGGCATGGGAGGTCTCACCACAGTGCTCTTATGAATGATCTAAGTGTTTTAATGCTACCAGAGGGGTAAAATAGGTATTCACTATGATGACACTAACAGTATTTTTTTTTTCTTTTTTGGTTGGGGTATGGAGACCAGAGGGAGAGGGAAAAAAGAGAACCTTAAGGGGGTTCCACACTCAGCACGGAGCCCAACATGGGGCTCAGTCTCATGACCCTGAGATAATGGCCTGAGCTGAAATCAAGAGTTGGGTACTTAACCAGCTGAGCCACCCAGGCAACCCCACTAACAGTAGTTTCTAATCTAATTTACTAGTAAGTTATGGTTTGTATATTTTAGATTTTACTTTTAAAAATTTAAGACGTTGGAATTTTAAGTTGTTTGGAAAGATTAACTGATCTAGAATATTACATTTCTTATAAATATATATAAAATATCATTTGGTGAACACATGTGAAGCTTTTTTACTATTTCCCCCCGAATTCTAAGGAGCAAGAGAGGGGAAGAGGAGAGGAGGAAACTTACTCCAAAGGAACATTAATTAAGTACAAAAAAGTGATAGGCCTGTAGTTCAATCCAGGCTCTAGCCTCCATAGACAAATCACTGAACACTCTGGTTTTCCCACTGAGGGAAAATCTCTTTGAACACTTCAAGTTTCTGATTCTTGAACAATGATGCCACTTCATATAAGCAGTCTAAGTCCAGGGAAACTAACTGTGTGGATTCATCTGCAAATGAAAACAGAAGCAAGACTGGACCTTAAATCTTAGAATCACAGAAGCTAATGGCTATGGCTAGACTTGTTATAAATGAGATCTCCTTAGTATTATCCGTGTTTTAAGGCACTAAGTAGCTACTATCACTTGGTAGCAAGCCAGGAAAAATATAAACAATGAAAAGGGACTAGAAATGTATTAAGAACTTTGAAGTAAATCAGGATGTTTGCAAGGCTTCAGGAAAGAAGGAATCTATAAAGCGCTGTTTAACTCTGCTTTGCAGGCTACTTGCATCAGATCACCTAAGCACCTTGTTAAAAATGCAGGCTTTCTGGGCACCTGGAAATCTCAGTCAGTTGGGCATCTGACTCCTGATCTCGACTTGGGTTTTGATCTCAGGCTCATGAGGTCATGTAGGCTTCTGTCCCCGTCCCCTGGCTGTGTTTATCAGTCTCTTCAGAAGGAAATCTGCATTTTAAACAACCCACCAAGTGATTCTCAATACGAGAACCCCCAGTATAGATAAGTGGAAAAGGTGCAGAAAGAACAAGGCCAGATAAAGAATGGAATGGAAATAGAGTGAGGATGGTGAAGGAAAAGGGTGGGTGTGATATATACCGGGGAACTGTTTTACTTTTCTATAAAAATACATGTAACAGAAAACTTAATGCCACAACCTTCTTAACAAATAGAAGTTTATTGACCTAATTCTAGTGAACTAGAATATTTGAAAATTTGTAAGATTTACCATCTCTGGCAATGGTAAAACAATATAAAAATATCAGATGGTAGCATCAACATTAAATTATAGATATATGTGTGGCCTCACTCCTGGTTCTGTTTTGTGTAACTAAGCTTTATTTTTTCATTTAACTTTCTTACCTACTTCTACTTTGCTATCTTCTTTGTATTTCATGTATGGTTATACATGTCACCTTACATCCTTTTTGGAAAAAAAGTTTATTCAGAATCACTCACTAGCACCCAAATAAGTAAACCAGAAAAAAAACCAAAAACTTTTAGAGAACTCCAAAAGCATTTTAATTTGCCCTCCTATGAGATAAGGTGAACAAATGAAGTAAAATAATGGTAGTGACCAGTCCCTGAGAATACAGTTAGTGGCAAAATTTTTTAGACCCTTGTGATGATCAATTCTAATTTATAATCAAGACAGCACAATCATTAGAAGCTACAAATATGGGTATTCAGTAATGGACTTACCTACAACGGAGCCAGTTAAGACCAAAGTGACTTTTTAAGCACTCCTTGATACTTCCTAGGCCAGCTGACTCCCTATATACACCCTAAGGCACAGGGTAGGGTTCTATAAACCTAATTACTCAGTTTTTTTTTTTTTTTTGGTTTTTTTTTTTTAAGATTTTTGTTTATTTATTTGACAGAGATCACAAGTAGGCAGAGAGGCAGGCAGAGAGAGAGAGGAGGAAGCAGGCTCCCCGCTGAGCAGAGAGCCTGATGTGGGGCTCGATCCCAGGACTCTGGGATCATGACCCGAGCCAAAGGCAGAGGCTTTAGCCCACTGAGCCACCTGGGCGCCCCAATTACTCAGTTCTTAATTCCCTGGTAAATCATAAAATTATTCTGTTTTTCAGGGACCCATCAGGTTTAATCAAGGAATTATATCTGCTTCTCAAGGACAGGATATGGTAGATTTCTTTTTTCATCTAAGCCCCTGGCACAAAGTCAAATTCAAAATTTGACTATTTAATATTCAAATACTTGTCAGTTAAATGACACAGAGCTACTATAAATGTTTATTGAACTGAAATGAACTGCTGTACAATGTTACACTAAAGCAGCTCCTCTTTGAGTCCAAGTGGTACTTCCAAGTCTTTCCAGATTTTTTTTCAGCAGTTCCACATAAAACAGCAGGACACCAGATCAGTTTGTTAAGCACTTAAATGTCTCACAAATGAGCATCTAAACTCCCATTAAAGCAAAAATATCATCAATGTCATCTGTCTCCTTAATGGTTCCTGATGTATTATGTTTGTTCATTTGCAGTATTGTCCATGAATCAGTTTCATTTTCATTGCTTCCTGTAAGGTTTTCATGAATTTCCTTCTCTTTAGTTTGTATGACAGGATTTGAAATTCTGCTACTCAGGAGAAGCTTACTATTAGGGGAGAGATCAGTTCTCTGAACTGTATAGTGCGAGAGTCTCCATTTACTGCTATCTGTAGCATTCTGAGTCCCTTGAGGGGATGGCTGAATTTCCTTTGAAAGAGTCAACTGCAACTTTCTCTGTAGTTTCCTCTGTTCCAGTAAAAATCTATTCTGAGATCTTCTTCGTCTCACATGACGCTTTGAAGTTTTGATTCCTGAGCCACGAAGAAGGCAGTTGCAAAGAGAAGTTTTTATGCACTCTAATTTCTTTGGCAAACTTTAAAGGACAAGAGAAAGGAAAAATCTGGGATTAAGACACAGAAAGACATTTTCAAAAACTTTTGTCTCCCTTTTTGTCAACTCCTAAAAGAAAAGTACACAAAACTGTATACAGGTCCTATAACTGTGTACAACCCCAGAATCATCACAAAAAATAAATAGGAGCTTCAACCCAAATCTGTGTTTTCAGAGCAGAGTTTCCCTCTGATTCAGATTATAGCCAAGTATGTCCCCATTTTGTTCCCAAAGTGAAGTACCTCCTACAACTGCCTAGCAAGGTAGCTGTCAGAGGCGCCAAACTGTTCTTAATGTAACAGGAGTGGAGCTGGGAAAAGGATCACAAATAGAACATCCGCCTGGATGCATTAATCTCGATCTGGATAAGTAACTTCATGTTGTAGCAGGGAGTGAACAAGGGAAAAGGAATCAAAGTCAGAGACGGAGTTTACCTAAGAATGAGAAGACAGAGCTTCTGGCGCAGACCACCTGATACCTTGGGCTGCCCTAACTGTGATTCATATATCTTCCTCAAGTGTGGGAATTCAGAACTCAAATTGCTGATTATTTTAGGTGCTTTGCTTCTGAATAAGGTATACTGCGACAAGGTACATTACATTGTCTTGTAATGTACTTGCTAACTGCCTCACTGTTTGTGTTAGATTTCAAAAGATTAGCACGGATCCGGATCCATAACTTCTACCCCTGTCACTCTCCCTTTTTCCTTTTTAAATAAATATATAACTTTGAGGAAGCCTTTATATATAATGTAGTGATTCAAGACCAGTTTTCAAAAGCTTTTCTTGTCTTACTCTAAGTGGTGATTTTTAAGTGGGGAGAGGGTAAGTGTACCTCCTCATTAAAATGGAAATAGAAAAATATGCAAACAGAAGAATCAGAGGATCTGAATTGAGTTCTAGATCTCCAGATGTAACAATCTGAACAAAATCCCCTATGTCCTCAGCTACAAAATGGGAATAATACTGCCTAACTCAGAGAGTTATGGACATTACGCAAATTTAAAACATACTACAGCATACTGAAACAGCAAAACAACAGTACAAAAGAGCAGGTTTTTTGTGGGGTAAGGAATCATGGTTTAACCAAATAACACTTTGTTACCCTTCTCACTAACTCTTAATTGTTATCATCTCTACTACCCCTTCTCCATCTCAGGCTGAGTTCCACCCCAGAATGGATCAGTTTTAGATGGCTACAGGTCTTTAAAGGACCTTAATGTAGAAACCCTTCCAACCATTCTTTCCTTAGGAATACTTAACTTCTCCCACAGCTCTCAATCAAAACTTGTTCTTGTTGATCTTTACAGCCTTTTTTGTCTAAAATTGTTATGATGGGCATCTATTATTTTTTCAATAAAAATATAAAACCCTAAGGCATCTGACTTCATTATAATGCTTCAAGTAATACTGACTCACAGTCAAAGATAACCACCCTTAAGCAGTTCTGTGAACCTAAGAATCAGAGGGAAAGGAAGAAATCAATACATGGAAAGTCTGGCACTCACGAACGAACATTACCTAACCCTAAGCCCGGAGCCTGGTGTGTGTACTTCTGCTCTCACACCCTCATCCTGCTGCCCTGAAGCTGTGAGGAGACTGGCTGTCTCTCCTACCAGAGCAGGAGTGAGAGCTAGTGCTCCATGAGGATTAAGTCCATCTTACACAATGCATCCCCTGGCTTAGCATACCACAAACACTCCTAAGGCTTTCTGAATGAACAAATGGAATGGTGAAGAATATAAATGAATAAATCCAATTAACCAAATTAACTTTCTTCTTCCCAGTGATACAGCTGTGACCAACAAAAGCAAACAAAACTGCAGTTTGAATAGATCCTTCTTTTAGCCCCCCTAGGGGGGGCTATCCCATTTTTCAAAAAGCTAACTTGAATATATATATACTTTTGCCCTAAATAACAACAGAAAAAATAAAGGAATGGAATTCTTATTATATACCTACCTACACCCTTGAGCTTCCACATGTTTAAGCCGGTTACTTTTAAGAAGTTTGTTACCCAGAAAGGAGGCCTGAGCCTTGAGTTTTTTGCTCCTGCACCACAAAATTGCTGTTCGGATTTCTTCAGAAAGTTGAATAAAACTCTCAGCCTCTTGAAATCTCTGCACAAAACTTTTGGCACAGGGAGTTCCTGTTGCTTTCTGAGAAGAATGTTTGGTTGCCTTTAGTTTGGACTGAGAACATTTTAAGTTGGTCTCCTGAAATATGGAAAGGTGAGAAAAATATATTGGATTTCCTACTGACTTGCAAATATATAACAGAGAAAAGTTGACCCCTATGAAAATTAGAAAATGTCTTTTTAAAAGAAGAAAAACTTTTAAAGCTCACTGTGCTTTCCTTTGTCTTAAAAAACAATGGGAAGTCACCAGAGAGGAAGACAAACCATGAGACTCTTAACTGTAGGAAACAAACTGAGGGTTGCTAGAGGGAAGGTGGGTCGGGGTTGGGGTAACTAGGTATGGGCATTGAGGGCATGTGATGTGACGTGCAATGAGTGTTATATACAACTGATGAATTACTGAACTCAACATCTGAAACTAATGTTGACTAACTAATGTTGGCTAATTGAATTTAAATTTTTTTAAAAACTTAATTTTTTTATCCACTGCTACTAACACAAGATTTTTTTCCTCCTCTATGCAACAACAGACCCCATCTATAACTGAATTCAGATGCGAATCATAATACAAATATTCTAACACATACAGCTATTTAATCTATACATAAGAATGAAACTGAATAAATATTAGTCAAGGTCTATCTGGTAGGGAAAAGAAAAAATCACTGAAGAGCCCTTTCCCTTGACACTACTAGACTATCACAAATTTGTTTTTCACTTATTTCTATACCAAGTTACCCTTCTCAATGATGGGTCAAAAATGTTACTGAAAACGCACAAAGGGATGATGCTGAATGTATGTTAAAAATGCTTAACTGAGCAACACTTCCAATTCAGCCATCTTTTGATGTGTCTCTTCAACCCCATCTTTCTATGTCAAGTAAAGTCTGAATTGTACCAGCCTTCATTGTTTACAAAAATATGCCACTTACTAGATCTGCTTTCATTTTTCATTCAAAACTGCTCCCAATTTCTCACTTTCAAGAAAGACATAAAAAAGTAGTAGAAAATATAAAAGTAGAGACCTATCAATACTTAGTGTTGGTAACTGATAAAAGAACTTTGACCTTAGAAGCAAGCTGAGCATGTTAGTGCTAACTGTTAAAACTGTGGTAGCGATTAGTCATGAATAGGGACTGGGGACCAACCAACCAGCTTTAAAACCAGCTCACCCAGGAACAGATAGATGGACTGCAGAACTTTCAAGTGTCAGAGAGCCATAGTTCTTGAGACAGAATTGACAAAACGATTTGGGGGACTGATATAATGATAAAGAACAAAGACTGTGAAACCAAACTGTCTGTGTCCAAATCCCAGCTTTGCCCCATACTTGCGATGTGGCCTAAGCAAGTTTCTTGTCCTTTCTAAGCCTCAATTTTCTCATCTGAAATATGGAAACAATAATAATAGCACCAGCCTAACAGGGCTTTTGCAAGGACTGTAGGAATTAACACACATAAAGCATTTCAAGAGTAAATGCAATATACATATTAGCTATTATTAGGGCTATGATGATGATGATTCCTCCCTCTGGAACTCATAAATTGGAGAAAATATAAATCCAAGCTAGAATCCTTGTAAACATTCAAGAAAGAACTCTGATTTATCAAAAATAATTAAGAATTCTTAAATAGAAAAGAAGATATCATCTAGGTAGGACACCAGGAGAAAACAATCTGAGGACAGGTGATAAAAGAAGCCAAGTAGTTACCACATGAAAGTTGGTAACCCTGATGTATTCATCTGTTGCTGGGTCCAGAACAGAATTTACAGACAATGACTAAGAGGAATCATGTTAAAGCTTGAAGCCTAACCGGAAAAGAAAGAGAAGCCTCATGACAAAAGATGAGGATGACAGTAACGATGAGAGACTTAATAACATCTGACCACAATTAAGTGCCTACCATACTCCAGACTCTGTGCTGAAGACTTTACATGCATGGAAACTGCATAACCCTATGAGGGGCATACTGTATTAGAAAACAGAGGTATGGGCAGGTCAAGAAACTTATATAATGTCACACCGCTAGTACCAACTAAAGCCAGGACTCAAACCATTTCTGTCTGACTGCAAAGCTCACGCTTTTTTTTTTTTTTTAAGATTTTATTCAAAAATCTTAGAGATTTTAAAGAGAGAGAGAGCATGAGTAGGGAGCAGCAGGAGAGGGGGAGGGAAAGGGATAGGCAGACTCCACACTGAGTGCAGAGCCTTAATGTGAGGCTCAATCCCAGGACGCCAAGATCATGACCTAAGCCAAAATGAAGAGTCAGATGCTCAACTGACTGAGCCACCCAGGCACCCCCAAAGCTCATACTCTTAATACAATCCACACCTACAATGGATCCTAGAGACACTTTAGAATTCTAGCAAAACTCTTGAGTAAAATGTTTTTTAAGACATTCTATAACCCGAATTTACTGGATGTACTCAGTCCCTTGGGCCTCTATTCATTCAGAAGCATAGGAGGAAAACTAAGGTGGCACTAAGCTGAGAGCTGGGGATAAAAACAGAAACTCAATCTCTGCCCTTGGTAAATGGTATCTATTCCACAAGTTAGCAGAAATCATAAGCCATAGTAATAGAAGCCAGACAAACCTGAGTAGCTTTGTGTTTCAGCTGTTTGCAGAAAGCTCTCACATCAAATTCTGAAGACTTTTCTGTAGAAATGGAGAGACCACGGATACAAAAACTGTTTTCAATATCATGCTATTTTCATACTATTAGCATAATATTTTCAAATCAAATTCTTAAGTATATGATATTTCTTGCCAAATTTCTACAAAAGAAATAAAGGGACTTGTAAAAGTCTGTGCTATATAAAAGTAAATTACCTTTGAAGACTTTCTTATTCTTTATTGGCTGTCCAAGATCCACATTATTCTGTGTATTGATCCTCATTTGTTTAGCGTTTTTGGAAATTCTGAGTATAGTTTCTGGGCTAGACCTTGGTGATTGCTCTTTTGTTAAAAATAGTTTATTTAACAGTTTAGTTACTCCTTTAGCTGCAAAAGCTGTAGGCATTTTTTTCTTAAAGACCTCAAAATAGGGCTGTCCTAAAAACTCAGCAATATCAGAAGGAAAAGTAAAATCTTTGAAGTAAGGCAGTGGTTGAATCATAGAGACCTGCTGAAGCAATCTGAACAATGGCTCATATAAAGACGTCAGCCTTTTCAAAACACCTTTATAGAGAACCCTAGAAAAAGACAGGAGGTCATGAATTAGCAAGCAATTATAATTTGCAGCTTATGTAATAACCACAATAGATTCAAAGATGAAAATAAGTATCAGTCTGCCACTATAGATTAAAAATCCTCTAGCGCATAATCCTCTAGCGCATATTTGTGAAGAGTGAGATTAGTCCAGCCCAAGCAGAAAAATCCAAGTACAAAATGTTACTTAAAACTAAATAAAGTACTCAACGGGAAGGTGTCTCAAAGGATATCTTATGTATGGTTTTAGCTACATGGTGAGATTTTAGGCAAGTTTCAGATTCTCTACATCGTCTCTGTTCTTTTGGAATGTCTTAAAAGAAGCATGTATTATTGTTATAATCAGAAAAATTAAAGCTATTTCCATTACAGAAAAGAATAATAGGTTAGCTGTTATTCATTCTAATCTTATCACCTCTAAGAATAAGCAGAATAAACAAGATAATTGGAAATAATACTTGAGAGACCCAAATAATACTTGAGAGACATCAAACACCTAACCATGAACATTTAGGTTCCCAATCCACCACAAGTAAAACATTAATCAAGTGAAGAAACAGAACCCCTGCACCATCAGCATCCCACGGGAAAAGAAATATGAAAACCTAGGCTGTGTTAGATGAAAAAGAAATGAAGGATTTTATATACATACATACCATAACCTGCTCACCAGCCCAACCATCACAAGGTTTAAAATAATGAATTCTTGCAAGCCTAGGTGCTTCACAGTCAAGCTGGAGAATCAAGTTAAAGTTGGAAAACAAAACCAAAGTAATCTGAATTTTGCAAGTTACATTTACGAAAAAAACAAATGGGAAATAGAATTTTCTTGAAGAAATTAAAGCCTTAAAATGTTCTATTTCAGTCATGGAAACTTAAAGTAATATGCACTCTTCCAGAGCTCTCATTATTTAGCTTCTATGATGTAGAATTTCTAACTGTCAGTGCCCTTAGGATAATACATGCTAGATGGAGACTGAGTCTCTGGCAATGGCTGTATCAGTCAATTCCTAGGAAAAGGAGGCCAAGATGCAAAATTTTACTTCCTATAACCTCCTTCCTATAACCTCGTAGCTTTCAAACAGAAATACCATTAAATATATCCAAAGAACTCCAATTCAGAGGAAAGCATTTCAGTTGATCAAGGATACAGAAATGTCTTGCAGCAACAGTCCAAGAAGCGAAGTAACAACTTGCAGGCTCCCAAAATCTTCATGAGCACCAGCTCAACCACTGGTTGGCTAGGAATGATACATGCCTTGGTATTTACAGGCTGGTTTTCACTTCACAAAAATGGAAAAGAATGTTATTTTCATTCTTAAACTTCATTACTTATGAAGCACTTACACAGCTATTTTCAAGCACAGATGAGCTGGAAGCTCCTAGCTGGAGTTGACTGACAACAATGTTTCAATATAATCTATCTTGACCCAGAGTTCAGTGTCCTGCTAGTCCCTCCCACAAACCAACAGAGGAGAGATTATCACAAATACCAGGTGCCCCTTATTAAAACAAAATTTATAAAATTCCCCAGTTGGGTTATATCCCAACACCAAGCAAAGAAGTCCAATGGAGATCACATTGAAGGCCATGAGTTCCCAGCCCACCACACAGACCATTACAAAGCCACTGGCCCACTTACCTGGAAGAAAACAACTCAGACAGATGTTGAATTGAACCCTCCAAATCCATGTTTTTCAAACGTTTTAAACATTGTTCAACCTGAAAGGGGAAGAACAGCTCAAATTTATATCACACAGACATGGCCACTGATAAGATCACAAAAGCAAAGAAATGCAAAAGTTCAAAGTATGGAAATACACTCAACACAAGAGAATACCTTCATTTTAGGGTAAAGTAATATGTAGCCCAAAAACAGTTGCCCCTACTTAAAGATTTGAAATTAACCCAGCCAAACAAATTTCTCAAATCAGTTTATAACTAGGAATTTACTATGTGTCAGGATGTCATTGATGCTATAAAGGGCACCAAAGTAAGTATGAGATTATTCTCAAGATTTTTCTGAAAAACATGCTTTCTAAAAGTGAAACTACTAAAACAAGATAGTAAAGCTAAGAGGTTTCACCTTTATTCAGAAGACAATGGAGAACCATTAAAAATATCAAACCTTGTTTTAGGATGATTACCCTGGCTTTGGCATATAGAACATGCAAGCATAGAGGAAAGACTGGAGTTGAGGAAGAATCAATTAGGATAGCAAGACAACTAAACGTTGACGAGTTCTGAAGAAAGAAGATGCAGCCAGAACTAAAAGAAGGGTCTAGATGCAGAGAAAGTTTTGACTGATCAATGGACTGAATGGGAGAGATACCTAAAAGGAAGATGCAGAGAAAACAGAACACCCAATTTTTCTGATAGATAATTATTCATAGCTTGGAAGCCAGGAGGAAAAATAGGTTCAATCTGATATGTTCAACATGAAATACATTCAGGTTTGGTTTTGGAGTAAAAGACTCATAAGGAGATAAAAAGCTGCCCCAGCGAAGAAAACTTAGGGAAAGACCACACGCTCCCAGATCTTTCTTTGATGAAGAAATCGCCATTCTTTTTGCCTTAAGTAATGGAAGCAGAAAACACCAGAGGGCACAAATCTGTAAAGTTAGAGAATATGTCTGTTTCACCCCTGTATTCCGAGCACCACGCACAATGCCTGGCACATAGAACTTAACAAAAAATACCTGCAGAATTAATAAGGTGAATGAATTTATGACCTTATAAGGAATCCAGCTTAGGAGACTTGTCTGTATAGGGTAGTCCCTAAACTAGAGGGCCCAACTGTGTCTTAAACTCTAAAAATTACAGAAACCACTTCCCATAACTTGTTATACAGCTATTTAATCTATTACTGATTAGATTATATGCCCTATAATATATAAACCACAACTTTGTTCTTTTTATGATTTTAGGATTTTCATTATGATTAGGAAATTGTTTCTTAATGCAACACTTTGTCTTGCTCAAATCACTGTATCCGTGAACTAGGCAAAAGTACTGTAATTTATTATAGGTTATATATAATGGAATTTTTCATAAAAATTACCCATTAGAAGCAAGACTGGCGAAGAATTAAACATAGTACCTTTCTAAATAAATTGCTTTTTGAAATGGTTTCAGGAAAAAAAAAAATGAAATCCCACATGCAACTGTGGACTGATGATCTATGAAGTCACAAGTAATTGACTGGGTTTCCCATAATAACAAAATATTAAGTGGCAGTGTGATCTCATTTTCATCAAGCAAACATGTTGAGTCGTAAACACAGTGCTTCCTCCTTACCTGTTTGAGAGCTAAATGGGGCTTGTGGCGGCCCATCCTGTTGTGATTGCTGTAAAGGACTGCACATAGCACATCTGTCTCTGCATCTAAGATTTGGTTCTTCAGTGACAGTGTAACAAGACAGCATTCTCTAATTACAGCTGCAACACAAAGGTCTAAACCAGAGATATTTAATAAAACTTAGTATGTATTTCTATATGAAGTTTATTATTTAAAAATACTCTGAAGAAACATCTTCCCTTATTAAGGGGATTAAGAACAAATTAATATAATCAGCTTTAACTATAAGAACATTATTAACAATTTTAAGTATGTGAGAAGATGGAAAATGGTGACCGATGATACAAAGTCTAGAAATCATTAAGAGGACATCTGTTAAACAATAACACATATCTTCGTATCACATTTTATTATGATTTTTAAGAATCTTTCATATGAATACTTTGCAGTCATTTGGTGTACACTTAAGTACTTTGATGGCGGGGTACCTGTTCTATGCTTCTCTAAATCCCCTATTTTGTTACGTACATAAGCAAGGCAGAATGGATAGACTCTTAAAAGCAAAGGTGTGGTATGGGTGTACTACTTTCAGGTAAGAATACATTCAGGTAAGAGAAACAACTGTACAAACAACTGTAATGTATGTAACTGTAATGTAATGTAACTGGAAGTTACATTATTTGATGAATGTCTGACTGAACACGGGGTGCTCAGAATGATATAACAGCTTCCTAGTCTGAAAAGCTGTGAAGTAGAAGATGGAGGTAATGTGTGTCTCTGTGTCACTAAGGGAAGCACTAGCATCCCAGATGGATAGACTACAAAGGCAGATTACTACAGAACAGGGAGAACTTTATTTTGTCCCAACTATGTGAGGCCAGAAAGGACTGCTTTGAGAATGGGGAGTTGCTGAATTTCCAGGCCTAACAGAATCCTGTTAATTTTTTTTTTTTAATAGAGGAAGAGGAAGATTATAAATTGCATAGCTTGGATGGATGGTGAGGAGGATGTGATCAGATAGGTTGTATTTAAAATTAACTATCACTTAAGTCTCCATTTACCGTATCAGGCACTGTTCCAAATGCTTTCTAACTGTACCTCTTTCTCAAAACAGCCCTCTGAGGCAGGTTCTATGTTTATCCGCATGTGAAAATGAGCTGAGCACAGAAAGGTTAAATAACGACACCCCCAAACCTGCCCACCTCCAGCAGAGCGAAGTGCCAGGATTCAAACCCAATTTGGCTCCTGAGGCACGCTCCTAACTACTGGGCCCTACTGCCTAAAAACAGCCGTACCACGGACAAAACACGTTAAGAGCACTTTCCCCTAATGACATCATTAGACGCTTTCAACAACCGGTGATAGGTAGGGAGCACTAACCCTAACCCGTTATACAGATGAGGAACTGGAGGCCAGAAAGACTGCCGTCTAAACACAGAGTGCTCCAGCGCCTTCCTAAGAGATCAGGACACAGACTGCAGGGTGGCCTGAGGGAACCGAGGCTTTCCAGGCAGCACTTCTCCCAGACGCCAGCGGCGTCCACCTCTCTCCGCCCCCCTGGGAGCGGGGCTGGGCCTTGGGCGTCCGTCGCTCCAGGCATGGCGTGCCGTAGGCACAGTGGGTTTAGTGAAGGATTCCAAAGCAAACCAGAGCCCCTACAAAATTCCTAGCAAACTCGGGACCGAGGGCTCAGGAAGTCCCGCCCCCACCGCGCACGTGCGCCGGCCCGGCCGGACACCGCCTCCGGAAGCGTCTGCGGTTCACCGGGCCCTTCGCTCACCCAGAGCTGCGTCAGGGTCCGGTATGGTCACTGTGCTGCGGCTCCCCGCCTTCGGGATTCTCACGCGGTTCCACGGCTCCAGGCCCGGCCGCACCGTAGCCATCTCGGGAGGCCGGGGAGGGGCTCGGAAGGGCGGAGCTCGGCGAGACCTAATGGAGGGACTGAGGGAGGAGAGAAGAGAGGAAATCTGGGGGAGGGAGAGGACAAGGGGTGGGACTGGGGCGGAGTCCGGAGGTGGGGGCGGGACCTTCTCGAATGGTGTACCAAATACAGTGGACTGGAGAGGATGGTCGTCCGGACTCTGTTCACCAACGCTTGGGCGGTTATCAGAAGCATTTGGGGAAGTTTGGGGTTGGAAGCTAGGGAAGTTCAGCCCCAGTACTGCTTAATCAGAATCGCCGAAGGGGGGAGGAATCTGCATTGGGTTTAGGCTCCCACACAGGGAAGTTTGAAATTAACTTCAAGGCATTTTACAGATGTAGAAACTGAGGTTACCCATACACCCCTGTCTCCGCATCAGACATTAGGGAGAATGGAAGAAATTAAATAAAGAGGTTTATGGAAGGTGTGGCATTTGAAACACCGAAGAGGGGATTTACTTTGTCCAAGACCGCCAAGGAAGTTTCCTCTAGCTACACCAACAGCAAAACCGAGATCACATCAAAGAAACTTAGAGGCCATCTGACTCTCCATCAACCCCATCCTCTATCAGTGTTTAAGACATGACGGTATCACCAGCTCTGCTGATCCTCACCTCGTTAATAACTTTCTTATAGAGTCTTTATCTTCAGCCACGCTGACGCTACCTTACTTGAGAAAGTCATCCACTGTAATGTATAAAAGAGACAGTCCGTGGGTTTTGGAGACAGACCACTAAGGTTCTAATTCTAGCTCTGCCGTTTACTAGCTCTGTGACCTCAGGGAAGTTATGTAACTCCTCCAAACCTTAGTATCCTTATAGGTAAAATAAAAATTATAGTCTCTGCCTTAGGGTTGTATAGTGCTTTAGAACAGTGCCTGGTATATAAGCAGATATTTACTCTTACCAGAATTAATACTGTTATTATTTCTACTGTTTAATATAAGTAACCTTGCCCCGTTGAAGCACTTGGCCATGCTCTTCCTACAAGCCTTTGCAAATACTAATCCCTCACTTGGATCATGCCTCTGAAATACAGTCTCCCTCAGCTCTGGTGTCATCACCTCTGAGTAGTTCTTCCTGAGCTTCCCATCCCCACTCCATAACTTGATATAGAGACCCCTTTATATACTACCATAGTGCCTTGAATTGGCCTCTGTATTAGCTTCCTATTGCTGCTGTAATAAATCATTACAAACTTAGTTGCTTAAGAGACTTATTGTATTTCTGGAGGTCAGAAGTCCAAAATGGATCCCACCCGACTACAGTTGGCAGGACCAGATCCTTCTGGAGGCTCTAGTGGAGGATTCATTTACTTTTCCAGTTTCTAAAGGCTACTTGCATTGCAGTCCTTTGTTCATGTGTCCATCCTCCATTTTCAAAATCAGTAACAGCATCTTCCAGTCTCCATGTTCTCTTTCTCTCATCCTCCTGCCTGCTTAGAAGTACCCTGGTGATTACACTGGGCCCACCAAAATAACCTGGTATAAGCATCCCATCTCAGAATCTCTAACTTAATCACATCTGCAAAAACTGTTTTGCAATGTAAGGTAACATAGTCACAGATTCTGAGGATTAGGATATGGACATCTTTGGGGAGCCGTTATTCAGTTACCATAGACACTCTCATAGAATTAACTTCACTGTGTTGTATTTGTATGTCTTCTTCAATGGCATATGAGCTTACTGAAGGCAATACTAACCGATATAGTTCACTAATCTTTATATCTTAGTGCTTAACTGAGAGCCTGGCATCTAGTAGGACCTGAATAAATTTTAATAACTTTACTGAGGTATAATTACTATAAGAGAACCACACATATTTAATGTATAAAATTTGTTTGCCAATATTTACTGGTTGAATAAGGAACTAGATAATGCTTGAATATAGTTTTTAAAAGATGATTAGGAATTTCTCAGACAGATAAGAAGGACATCCCTGACAGAATGATGTTAAACAACATGGGTTGGAAGAAGCACTAGTCCTGGGTCAGTATTGCTGGAGCATGATATGTGCTGAGGGGTGAAGCTGGGAGTGGTGGTGTCAGATTCTGGGCAGAACTTGGATTCTACCCTGAAGGCTGGTCATTCCCCAAGCTGGCTGATCATAATTAACCTAGATAGCTTTTAAAAAATAGAAATTATCAGGCCCCACTTTGGAAATTCTTACTTATTAGGTATGAGTAGGTCTCTAATCTTTGTTTTTTTAAAAGCTCCTTTTGATGGTAGTTTGGATTGGGGAGCCCTTGCTGTAGGTGATAAAGGAGTCTCTGAGTCTTAGGCAGGACAATTTTAGTCACCTTGTATCAAAGAGCACCCTGAAGAACAGATTTAAAGGAAATGAGACTGGGCGTAAGGAGGTAAAGGAATCTGTTGCAAACAGGCAAGACACGATTATAGCCTGGATTCAAACACAGGCACTGAAGATGAATAGTAGAACTTATTTAAATGTCTGGTGTCTAGCATGACTTCTAGATTTTTGCTTTGAGTTTTTGATGTAGCATTCAAAAGTAGAACAGATTTAGGTAGGTGGCAAGGATAATGAGATAACTTTTGATATATTAAGTTTGAAATCACCCACAGGCTGTCCACAAGTATATGGCCAATTCACCAGTTGAATAAATGGAACTATAGCTCAAAGTGTGATTGCAAAGGGAGGAATATAGAGATGGTGAATATAGGATAATATTTTTAGAAGGTTAGATAAGAAGGGGAGACCATTTAACTTGTAATAGGGTATTGTTTTGGTTCTCATTTTAAGATAGTATATCAGGGTTCCACCTTTCAAACAGAATCAATAGGATACATATATATATATATATATATATATATATGTTGTTTTTTTTTTTTAAGGGATTTTTTGAAAGAAATTGGCTTGCACAATTTTGGGGTTTGGATAATCAAGTTTGAAATCCATAACAGCAGGCCAACAAGGAGCAGACAGAAAACTCAGGCAGGAGCTGTAGCTACTACTGTCTATAAATGGGATTTCTTCCTCCTTATTTTCAGAGAAACCTCAGTTCTGTTTTTAAGACTTTCTAAACTGATTGGATTGGGTTTGCCCAGATTTCGCAAGATAATCTCCTTTACATAAAGTCAGCTGATTGTAGCTGACAATCCCATCTACAGAATACTTTCACAGAAACACCTAGACTTGTGTTTGACTGAGTAACGGGGTTCTATAGCCTAGCCCAATTGATACACAAAATTGACTATCACGGACAGGAAATGACTTGCTCACATATAGGCTAAAGGAAAAGAGCCAAAGAGTTAGAGAAGCTAGCCATATCATGGAGATAGAGGGGAGAAAGTTAATAGAACAAGACCCATTATCCACTCCATAAAGTTTTTGAGCATCAGTTGTTTGCCAGGTACCATACTATATCCCAGAGGAGACAAGGATAGGATCAAATATTCAGGTAAAGAGGTTGACTTAAAGATCAAAAAAGCCTTTATGGCCCAAGCCAGGAAGAAAAATAAAAATAGCTTTAGATATGGAGATATTTAGGGTGGGGTGCTAGGAGGATGAGGGACACCAGAGCAAAAGCATCTGTGTAGTCTGTGAGGAGAACTGGCTATCATTACCAAAGGTAGAGGGCAGGGAAATGGGGTTGCCTGTGAGCGGTGGATATTTGAAGTCAGAGCTTCCTTGAACTGGGGGAGGGTGGGTAAATGGAAGAGACATGGACTCTGTACATTAGACAGAAAGTAAGGTTTTAAGGCCATGCTTGGAAAATTTAGAATCTGTAAAGAAAGACTGCCAAGATACAAATGACCATCAAATAAACAAAACCCTGGCCATCTCATTAGTAATCCAAGAAATACCAGTTAAAATGATTTTCAGGTGTTATCAGAGTAAAAGGATTAAAAAGCATGGTGTCCCATGTTACTAGGACTTTATACAAAAATTTAGATACAAAGTTAACCTTTGTTGTTTTCATAAAAATGGAAAATTTTTAATACATGATGAATCATTTGGTTTCTAATATTTTGGCAGTTGAATTTTTTTCCCCACAAAAATCAAATATCTAAAACAAGTAAAAGTGAAATTAGTTTTTGAGGTATATGGTAGAATGCAAGGCCTTCCCATTAAGTGTTATAAGACACTTCGTAGGAACAGTTTTGAAACCCACAGTTGTAAATAAATAAATATGTATTGATGTGAGCAATTTTTGGTGATACGGTAAGGTGTTTTTTAAAGGAGCTTAAAAAACAACATGTATAATACAATTTCATGAAAGAATACACACCCATACATTGAAAAAAAAGGTCTAGAAGGATCTAAATGAAGGTGTTAACAATGATTATCTTTCCAGCAATGGGGTACATCTTTTCTTCTTCTATGAGCTTGTGTGTATTTTTTATTTAAGGGAAAGGAAAATAAGGAAAGAAATATGTGTTAATATTATAATTAGAAAAAATGTGTTTTTTTAAAGATTTTATTTATTTGACAGAGAGAGACACAGTAAGAGAGGGAACACAAACAGGGGGAATGGGAGAGGGAGAAAGCAGGCTTCCCGCCGAGCAGAGAGCCTGATGTGGGGCTCCATCCCAGGATCCTGGGATCACGACCCGAGCTGAAGGCAGATGCCCAATGACTGAGCCACCCAGGCGCCCCAAGAAAAAATATTTTTTAATGCCAAAATAGTGTATACCAAGGCCTTAGGATGTGTGTGTGTGCATGCACAGGCACGTGTGCTCATGCTCTACACACACAACAGTATATTTAGAGATATATGCTTTCTGTTATGCATCTTACTATGGCCTCTCAGCTTCAGTCCTACCCTTCTATACTTTCCTCTGTGATTCTATGGCTGGGACCGTGCAAAACCAAATCATCTTTGCCAGCTGGTAGTTACATCAACATGGACTGCTAGAGGGAGGTTGAAAGGCAGAAAGAGGAGAAAAGGGACTTGTTCCTTCCTGTTTGCTCCTTTCTTTCTGACAGTATCACTCTGCAACAGCTCTTTATCCTGGGTAATGGCAGTTGGTTCTAGTCCCTGACTCTTTCGACACACTAGCAGAACTTGTTG